AGGTAGGGATGCTGGGTGGGTGGGAAATGTTAATTTTTTTATAATATTATTAAGTTGTATATATGTATGTCTGTTTGTGGATGTGTGGATGTCTGTTTGTGGATGTGTGGATGTCTGTTTGTGGATGTGTGGATGTCTGTGTGTGGATGTCTGTTTGTGGATGTGTGGATGTGTGTTTGTGGATGTCTGTTTGTGGATGTCTGTTTGCGGATGTGTGGATGTCTGTTTGTGGATGTGTGGATGTGTGGATGTCTGTTAGTGGATGTCTGTTTGTGGATGTGCGGATGTGTGGATGTCTGTTTGTGGATGTCTGTTTGTGGATGTATGTATGTCTGTTTGTGGATGTGTGGATGTGGATGTCTGTTTGTGGATGTGTGGATGTCTGTTTGTGGTTTTGTGGATGTCTGTTTGTAGATTTGTGGATGTCTGTTTGTGGATTTGTGGATGTCTGTTTGTGGATGTGTGGATGTGGATGTGTGGATGTCTGTTTGTGGATGTGTGGATGTCTGTTTGTGGCGGATGTCTAGCGTGGATGTGTGGATGTCTGATGTTTGTGTATGTGGATGTCTGTTTGTGGATGTGGATGTCTGTTTGTGGATGTGTGGATGTCTGTGGATGTGTGGATGTCTGTGGATGTGTGTTTGTGGATGTGTGTTGGTGGATGTCTGTTTGTGGATGTCTGTTTGTGGATGTCTGTTTGTGGATGTCTGTTTGTGGATGTCTGTGTATGTCTGGATGTCTGTTTGTGGATGTCTGTATGTCTGGATGTCTGTTTGTGGATGTCTGTTTGTGGATGTGTGGATGTCTGTTTGTGGATGTGTGGATGTCTGTTTGTGGATGTGGATGTCTGTTTGTGGATGTGTTTGTGGATGTCTGTGGATGTGTGGATGTCTGTTTGTGGATGTCTGTGTATTTGTGGATGTCTGTTTGTGGATGTCTGTTTGTGGATGTCTGTATGTCTGTGGATGTGGATGTCTGTTTGTGGATGTGTGGATGTCTGTTTGTGGATGTTTGTGTGTGGATGTGTGGATGTCTGTTTGTGTATGTGTGGATGTCTGTGGATGTCTGTTTGTGGATGTGTGGATGTCTGTTTGTGGATGTCTGTGGATGTGTGGATGTCTGTTTGTGGATGTGTGTTTGTGGATGTGTGTTTGTGGATGTCTGTGTGTGGATGTCTGTGTGTGGATGTCTGTGGATGTGTGGATGTCTGTGTATTTGTGGATGTCTGTTTGTGTATTTGTGGATGTCTGTTTGTGGATATGTGGATGTCTGTTTGTGGATGTGTGGATGTCTGTTTGTGGATGTGTGGATGTCTGTCTGTGGATGTCTGGATGTGTGGATGTCTGTCTGTGGATGTCTGGATGTGTGGATGTCTGTCTGTGGATGTCTGTTTGTCTCAGTGTGTGTAGGAGTGTATTTATGTCTTAGCGTTTGTACGTGTGTATGTGAGTGTATGTGTTTCTGTTAGTGTATGCATGTGTATGTTTGCAATTGCATGTATGTGCATACGTTATTGTAAGTTTCTGTCAAATAAGTGAGAGTCTGTCATTTAGTGTGTGTGTGACTATTAGTGTGTGTCTCTCTGTCAATGAATGAGTGTGTGTCAGTGAATGTGTGTGTCAAATCAGTGACGTCTGTGTGTTTGTCATTGAATGTGTGTGTTACTTATAGTGTGTATCTGCCAGTGTGGGTGTCTGTCAGAGAGTGTGCTTAAAGGGACACTATAGGCACCCAGACTACTTCAGCTCCTTGAAGTGGTCTGGGTGCAGTGTCCCAGTCCCCTTAAACCTTCTCAGAAACTGCAATAATTACCTGAGGGGTAACTGCAAGTCTAGTGGCTGTCTATCAGACAGCCACTAGAGGGACTTTCGGGTGGTTAGGTGACCAAAGTCACCTAACTGATGCTGGACGTCCTCACCCTGTGCATGAGGACATCCAGCATCTGCTAAATACCCATAGGATGTTAACCCCTTCAGTGTCGAGTGGGGGAGGGGAGGACATGAGAGGAGGGGGGCACTATATGGAATTATAGTGCCAGGAAAACAACTTTGTTTTCCTGGCACTATAGTATTTCTTTAAAAGGAGCAGGAAAAGGTGGAATCTAAAGAGGAAGGGGTGGGTTCCTTATCAGGAAGCGGTGCACCCTTGACATGAAGGAGTGGTAAATTTAGATTAGGGGGGTGCTCTATAGTCATGTCTAGGGCAGCATAAAATTAAAATACACCACTGTGTGAGTATATGTGTGTGTGCACGTTTGTGTATGTATATATATATATATATATATATATATATATTTACACATACATACATACATACATATATATACACACATACATACAAGTGTTTTGTTTTTTTTTTGGGAGAGTTCCCACACTTTTTTCCCCAGGACTTGACCCCTGGGTAGGATGTATTTCATGTATTGGAAAAAGTAGGTTGCTAGAATAGATTACAATGAATGTTTTATTTTTATTTGGATGAGAGGAAGCAGAGTGGGTTAAAAGGAAGGGAGTTCCATAGGAATGTTGCAGCCCTATATACAGTATATTCATGTTTTTCTTGTCAACAGTAAGAGCAGTTTAATGTTTTAATTAGCCTAAATTAAAAAGTATATAATAGGTATCATGCACATGGTAAATAAATGTAGGAATGCACTGCAATAAAACCAAATAGTGTGGGAAATATCAAAAGCAGCACTAGATGAACAACAAAATAAGTGGGCAGCCACTTGTCAGGACCACAAAAAAAAGGATATAAAGAGTTTATATTTATTGAGCAGACAGTAATCAGCTGTCATCATTGGTTCTGCCATTAAAAACACTGGTTTGTAAGCAGATTTCCAGGATCTTCAAAAAAAGGATTTGCATGCTCATGATGATGGAAATCTGCAGTTATACTTGTGGAATAGTTAAAGGGACATTCTATGTACCGAACAACTTTAGTATAATGTTTTGGAGTGTAGATCACTTTGTTAATCCAGCTCTAGCCACACCTACCCTGGCTGAAATTCACACTGTCTCCATACACACTTCCTGAAAAAGAGGTTTAATTTTTAAACTTACATTATTGCACAGTGGGTTCAATTAAAAATTTGTATCTCCTGCTCTGTTAATTGCCTGTTTAGTTTGAAGCATACTTCCATGTGTGTACCTAATGTTCAATTAACAGAGCAGGACATAAGAACTGATAAGTAAACACACCGCTTTACCAGGCAGCTACTAGACTTCTGGGTGGTAAGGCAACTTCTAGTCGCCTAACTGACACTAGATGTCCTCATGGTATGCATATGGACATCCAGCGTCACCCAAAACCAAATAGGAAAGCACTATACAAAGCTCTCCTATGGGAGAAGTCCTAAAGCAATTGTGACGCTCATCGTTTATGCGCATTAAGCCCCCCTGCCAGCTGACGTAGGCGGAGCCCGAACCAGCATGATGGGACTTTGGCGCTGGAGTCAAGTAAATGATGAAGGTGGTTTTAACCCATTCTGCATTGGGGAGGGGGGGAATGAGCACTATAGTGAGCTGTTGTGATAGGAAAACAACTTTCCTAGCACTATAATTTCCCTTTAAGTAAATACTTTGAGTCAAAATAGTGTTATCATATATGAATGTAGCACACTATTTTTGTTCTAGTTAGTAGAACTTCATGAAAAACGTAATGAAAATGTTTAATAATGATGTCCTGGGAGCTTTTCATATTTTGTTTATTGCTTGTACTTATTCCAAAATTACAAATAAATAACCACACTTTCAAGAGTTAGATGGAAAAAAGGACATCTTCTGAGGCTGACAACATCTTTCTATAAAGGATAATACTATATATATAAAACTTAACATTTAGCATGCTTACACAAACTTCAAATATTTAGATGAGGCACATCTGTACCAAATAATCCTAGTTATTTAAAGCGGCACTCTCATCAACCCAGGACATACTTGAAAACTAGAGAAATCTCAATGTATCCATCCTGGTAAAATATGTTATATATAAATAATTAAACCCCTGAAAAATGATATTTCATAAAGATATAATCTTTATAACATGTTCCTACTGACTGTTGGTATTTCAGTGAAATTCCAACACAGTCAAGAGATATACTGAGACAAAGTAGGGACTACCTATATTTCCAACTGCTAACACTTCTAGACACTAGGTGAAGCTGCTGTTTAGAAGTGTGAATCTCCCAAGCAGTCACCAGTGGCAGCTGCAGGGAAATGGCTTATTTCTATGGAATATCCCACAGTCTAGCGGGATCCTCCATAAGCCACAATACTGTACTCTTGCACATGTGCGAAAGTACAGCAGTGATGTTGGCTGCTGGTGCTAAAGAGGATCCACTGGAAGATTTTGGTGCTCACAAGGGACAGGTTCGAAACTTACCTTTGCCTGCCTCCAGGGCCAGCGCATCCATAAGGCATCACAAGCAGCTGCCTTAGGGTGCACCGCTAGATTAGACCGGCAGGAGGTGGCCGCACAGAGTTCCCTCCTGCCAGTCACTCTGTGTAGTGTTGCTGAGTGGAGCAGTGCACAACGTGGTACAAGAACAAGAGCACTTCCGGTCTGTCCGCCCGGGTACAGGAAACTGAAGCTCCTGTACCGCGGTCTGCTCAGCTTGGCAATGCTACAAGAAAGGTAGGAGACACACCAGGGATCAAGGGGGGAGAGAAAGGGGCACTATGGGATGGGGGAAGGAACAATATGTGACTGGGAGGGGGAGGAATAATATGGGGGGGAAGAAAAACTATAGGGGAGGAACGCTATGGGACGGGGGAAGTACACTATGGGGGAGGGGAGAAAAGAACACTATGGGACAGGGGAGGGGGGAAAAGAACACTATGGGACAGGGGGGAAAGAACACTATGGGAGGAAGAGGAAAAGAACGCTAAAAAAGAGGGAGGGGAGAGGAACACTAGGGGGTTGAGAGAGGAACATTAAGGGGGAGCACTAAAAAAGAGGGAGGGGAGAGGAACACTAGGGGGTTGAAAGAGGAACATTAAGGGGGAGCACTAAGGTACAGGGAGGGAAGGGAAAATGAACACTGGGGTGGAGGGGACCACTAAAAGAGAAGGGAGAGGAACACTATGGGGGGTGAGAGGAACATTAAAGGGGATGGGGGGGCCCTAAGAGACAGGTACGGGGGGAAGAGGAACACTGAGAGACAGGGGAGGGAGGAGAGAGTAACACTAAGGGGCAGGAGAGAGGAACAGAAAAGGACATGGAGGTGAGAGGAATGCTAAGGGACAGGGAAAAAGAACACAAAGGGACATGGAGGGGAGAGTGGCAGAAAAGGGGGCCTTAGTGGGAGAAAGACACACAGATGGGCCTAGGGGAGTGAAAGTTCACAGAGGGGCTGGGTATGAAAGCAACAAATAGAAGAACCTGGGGCTTGAAAACTAAGTGGCTGGGGGTGAAAGAGACACTGAGGGGCTGGAGAAGAGAAAAAAGAGACACAATGGGGCTGGTGGTGAAAGAATAACACAAGGAGCTGGTAAGAGTAAAAGACACAGAGGGGCTGGGAGAGGAGTCACACTGAGACACAAAGGGGCTGGGAGAGGAGTCACACAAAGGGGCTGGGGGAAGTAAGACACACAAAGGGGGGTTGTAAGAGATACAAAAGGGAGATGTAAGACACACAATGGGAAAAAATAGGAGATAAGATACACTAAAGCCATTTTAAAAAGGGGCTAAGAAACAAAAGGCGGGTCAGAGGCACACAGGTGAAGATGCTTTTGGAAGGAGGGGGCACCAAAATCATCTTTGTCTGTGTACCCAAAAATCCTTGCATTGGCCCTG